GATCAATAATCAAACTAATATTGAATTCGATGTCCCTCCAGTTGAAAATTTAGATCTTCCAAATAATATGAATATAGACGATTTTGGAGATGAATTTGACGATCAAGACGATGGGAATCTTAGTAATGAAGGTCTTGATGATCATGATGTAGATAACCTTGACAATGATGATGATCTTCCTTCCAACATGGATATAGATGTACCCGAACCTGACACGATCCAAGAATCTTTTATGAATGATCAAGATGATAATAGGTCTATTGATTCATTGGTAACTGAGACTATGATGGATGAACCAGACGGCATTAATGACATGGATGATATGCGACCTGAAAATGAAATTGAAGAACAATTAGAAAAAAATAATTACGATCCATTAACGGAGTCTAACCAAAATACAGTTCCTAATAATAACGATCAATCGGAAAGTATTGAAAGAGAAAATAATCCTGAAGAATCATTCAATAAAGAACATCCAAATTCTGAAATAACTGTTGATAATACGTATGGTATTGATGGACAATCAGGTAAAATGACTGATATCTCAGAAGAAAGGTCTTATAAAGACTCACGAGTTGCGAATGAGAATAATAAACATGATGATAATTCTACGAATGATATCTACCCAAGTAACAATGGAAATAACAATGATTTGGATAAGAACCTTAGCCATCAGCAAGAAAAACCGAACTATAATTTAAAAGATATCAATCCCCATCGGAGCCTTGGTGATGCTCTTGAACTATGGCGCCGGCGACTTGAAATAATTGATGACGAAAATTCAAGTTCCCAACATAAGCAAATCAACGATCTTCAAAGTAACATAGAGCAGAAATCAAACGAAAATCAAAATTTTGAATTTATAAAAGATGAGAATGTTGCTCACGATCTTCAGGTGATGGCAGCGGCTGCTGAAGATCAAATAAAAACGATTGATACCAGTGGTGACGATTGTCAAACTTGTAATTACGAACCTGCTTATGAAGATAAAGAAATCGAAGAAGTTGATGAATTCACCAGTATTCAAAATGACAAATCCATTTATGATGACTCTATTAATAAAGAAGAAATCTCAAAGGAGATATTAATTTCTGAACAAGGCAGAGAACACCAAATTGATAAGCAAAATCATTCTTACGACGAATCCGAAATAAAAACTATGAGTAAATCCAGTTCGTTCCAAGAACATTTTCCTCCAGAAGATATTAATAGTTTACGACAGGAGCTTGAAATTAAATTATCGGAATGGCGACAATCCGACCGGGATATTACCAAAGCAAGGGAACTCTGGCAAAAATATGAAAATCTTACTTACGATTTGGCTAATAATCTTTGTGAACAATTGCGACTAATTCTAGAGCCTACTCTTGCTGCCAAATTAAAGGGAGATTATCGTACTGGAAAAAGGCTTAATATGAAAAAGATTATACCATATATTGCCAGTAATTTTCGAAAAGACAAAATTTGGCTTCGTCGCACAAAACTAAGCAAACGGCAATATCAAGTTATGATAGCAGTCGATGATTCAAAATCAATGAGTGAAACTCATTCGATTCAACTCGCTTATGAGACTTTAGCATTGATATCTAAAGCATTATCACAGCTCGAAGTTGGTGACATTTCCATTGTTAGTTTCGGAGAAAGGGTGCAATTACTTCATTCCTTTGATCAACCATTTAGCAGTGAAGCAGGAGCGCAAGTTTTACATCAATTTACATTTGAACAAAATAAGACCTACGTTAGATCTTTAATGGAAACATCTATCGAACTTTTAGAACGTGCAAGAGGCAAAT